CTCATCTTTCTTGTCGACCTTCCAATCTGACATTAAAGGTATATTCAAGAAGACAAGTACATCAATACTTTCACAATCTAAAATACTCTTTAGGGTGCTTCTATAAACAGTTAGAATACAAAAGGCCAAGGCAGACTTTTAAAAAAAATTACATCCTTTTTTTTCTGTGTATGATTTGAAGAATATGTTTTCTTTTCCAAAAGGAAAGAAAAGTAACAAGGACATCATTTCAACTTTCTTCTGTATGCATTTTTACAGCCAGTAATGAATATATACAGTATTCAAATGCCAGCATATCCTGAATTTTTAAAAGTATATAGCCTTCTAAAATGGTTTCATCTAATAAGTGCAACATGAAGAAAATGGTACTCAGGGTACAGAAACAATAATGTATTGCTCTGTCTAATCTACACCACGGAAGTACTTACTAAGACTGCAGTGGAGAAAAAAGGCAAAGGAGTGGCAGTGAATTGCTATTTAAATACTCATTAACTATTAAGGAAGTTACAGAGAATATTTTCAGCATTAAAGACAAAGGACAGTTATGATTCCAAAGAATATCCAGTTTACCACTTCTTAAGAGATGATAAACCAGAATGTTTCTTTTTAGTACAAAAGAGATGTTTTAATCACGAACTTCATATTTCTTCATACTAATATTTTTTACCTTTAGACAGGTAAAAGTGGTTCTGAAGCCACAGTCGAGGCTTTCACCTTTCATCCTCAACTTTACACATATTACTTATGGTTTCAAGTTGAAAGTCAAGCCACAAACCTCACGTTGCTAGACCAGGACAATGTTAAAGTAAGCAAGCTGATTATTGGCAATGTATCTATCTGATTTGGGGCAATTGTAATGAGTAGTTTTTATGAAGCCATGAATAGACCTGCCAGATTTTTCATCCTCATTTAACTAAATAGGCACCAGTTTCCTCCTGTATTTCTTAACATTAAAACATATCGAGATCGGCACCTCCCCAGAGTCATCCACTGTTTTATTAAATAACCTTAAGTATGAAATTGTACACAAACTATCTTAAGTAGGACTAGAAAATATTGCTACGATTTGTTGGGACACCAGCTTCTGTAGATTTCGAAGGCCCCAAAGCCTTAGTTAACTGTTTTTTTTTTTTCCAATCCAGCGTTCCACTTTAGCATGAATTACTGAAACTTTAGCTAGCTACATTGTTTGGGTTTAAACATGTATGAGTAAAGTATGGTTGACTAGTTATGGTTCAAAATGCCATGTAAGCATGTTTTTCAGATATCAGATCTTTAATTTAAAAAAGACAAGAGATAGTGATCCTTTAAAATGTTTAAGATTTTAATGGCTGAAGTTCGACATTTACAGCATGAATGCTCATTGAAAACCACCATCAGAACAAAGATTACTGTACGTACTTGTGAATAAACCATGGATTTTAAGTGCCAAAAATTGGATTTGGCTAATCCGCAGATGGGTTTGTCTGCATGGATATAATAGTAGATTTTTCCCTCAGCTTTTTTAAAGTATTCGCAAACTTTTTAACCGAAATAACATAAAAATGTGCCACGCACAGATAAACCAATTGCAAACATTAAAACAGGGCAAAAAAAAAAATTCAAGAATTGGCTTCTCTGTGGATGGGTGAGTATATACAATGCTACTTTTTGAAAGTAGTAAAGCTATTTACAGAGGATGGGATCATGACATCACAACTGAGACTTAATAAATGTTACGTGTAGATAGTTCCTGTTTTTGAACTGTATCAGGTTTTTTTCTGTTTTCCATATTACTCTAAGTTTATACTACGGTATGTAACATGACCAGAAGAGCCCCTACATGTGAACTTTAGTGAGTAATCTACACAAACTGAAAACAACACTTGGAATGTGTGACCCTTTCGAGGTTTCTCTGTTGCAGAGTTTTGTTTGTATTTCCAATCCGGCTGAAGCCAAGGGGCCAAATAATGCTGAAACCACATTGTATATTCACTATAATGTAATTTGAATGCCCATCTTATGGCTACAAAATGTGTTGTCACATTATTGAAATGCCAAGCAACAACGGATTGCAGGTTTATCTGCCATGTGGAGTTCGATAACCAGGACTTCCTTTGCTCTGTGGGATATCCCATTTAAATAAGTTGAAGTATTAAGTGAAACTCATCCTATTCATACAACCCTCAAATTAGCACCTCTTTTGGAATTCTGGGTGAAAAAATTATTTTTCTTCTCATTAATGCTAGCCTTTCAAATATAGGGGGCGTGCATAAGTGCACCAATGTGCCTACCATCCCTATCCTATTGTTTCTTTTATATATTTTTTTCGTATATGTATCCATGTATTCATAACTATGTTTTTACTTATACCTATTATCTTGCAAGCAATTGACAAATAAAAATAAATAAAATTTGTCAGTTTGAATTTTTCCTTTTCTGTAATACGAAACTAAACTTGCTCAAAGATAGAAGGAAGCAGTTAAGAATCAAAGTCCAAATACATACTGCTTGCAGTTGTTTAGTATCATGACATAAAAGCCCAGCTAAGATAGAAAAATTTGAAGTGGAGAATTGGTAAGTATAGAAAGCATTAAGTACTGTTATTTTCTCCCTAACAGTTACGATGTTCCTTAATGTTCAGTACTTCAGGCAGCAGCTAAGCACTTAATAAAAAAAACAATTTTGTATTATTGTGTAGCAAAATCAATTGCATATATTAATGTCAAAAATTCAAGTACAAACAAGCCAGTTGAAGGGCCTATAGCCACAGTAGCTGCACTGTTCTTTATCTTCCTCCACCAATTTTTAAACGTGTAGAAACTAGAGCTCCCACTTACCTGAATATCCAGATGAGAAGTTTCCTCTGTAATTCTTCAAAATACATTGGATGAATGTTCTGATTTAGGTGTGGTATGAGTTTTTGCTATTGTTTTAAACATAACTATTAATTCTCTTGTGGTGCTACCAACAGCTTGGTGTTCAGCAACAGTTGGTTTCTACAGATGTTTAGCCAATCCTCCATACCTTTACTTGAAAGTAAGTCATGTTGAGATAACCAAGTGAGGTGGCCCTTAAACTAAAGTACACAACTCCAAATTCAACTAATGTAAATGGGATTGCGTTTAGAAGGCAATTCTCATAGTGGAACTACTTGGAACTGTGGGCTATGCTTGGTTGCTCTCTTTACATACACTCTTCCCTATTACAGGCCATCAACACCACCAGATTTCCTATTTTGCATGTCATTATCCAGAATTAAAGTTACCATCTCCAGCATTATAAAATGTGCCTAACGTTAGAAAATACCATCACTGCTGTTCGAAGTGGCCATCATAAACCTGATGAATTAGGTGTAGAACAGAAGGAAGGGGGGGGGGGGAATGGTTTATTAACTAAGGTCATTTCTCTAATCTTAATATTTTTGAATAATTTAGTGTGTCAAGTGGTCAAAGTGCTTCTCAAATATTATCTCAGCAATGCTTGCAATTGCCCAGTAAAGTCTTATCTTCATATTTCACTTTGGTGGCCAAGGAGAAGACAGTGACAACTGAGGTATCCTCGTGAGCTGGACGTGACTGCCAAATAATAGTTCAATCAAGGTTTCCCTAAACAGAACCAACTTGAATTATTTTTTTTAAAAAAAGCAAATGAACATTTGAGCCAATCAGAAATCTTTCACTCTCTTTTATTGCAAAGAAATATACAAACAATTTTGGGAGTTCGGAGAGAAATGTTAGAGGAGATACTTAAATGAGAATGGAAGGGTGGGGTGATACATAATATTAATCCCACAAAATATTTAAAAGATAAAGTATATAATCTGCAACCTATCTGTAATACTAGTATAAAAAAAGGCAACTAAATGAATAAAAAGTGAACTATGACTCTCCTTCAAATAAAACTTGTACTCCTATTGTTCTACAATGTTAGAATAGGATGGCTTAGTATATCATTGTCTATGGAGATTCTCAGTCATCCAGGTCATGGTTGTACCAAAGGTGCTTTTTCAGGAGGCAACTGGACTTTCTTCAAAGACATTTCTTCAAAACTTCAGAGCTGAAGCAGCTTTTTGGATGAGAAGTGAAACGCCTTCAAAAAAAACCCCAGGAAATCCAGTTGCCTCTTGAAAAAGCACCTTTGGGATTAATATATCATTGGTCATGAATATTTGAACACTATAAAATAATTATAATTATAAAAATTATAAAAATAATATTTTAATAATGCTCATCTACAAAAAAAAAGACAAATGACTTTTTTGTTATTAAAAAAGCTTTTTAATGAATCCCCAGTCATGACACTTTCCCAAGTCCCCAAATCTTTCTGAACTTAATAATGTCAAAGTACTTTTAAAAAAAAATTCCAGAAGGGATCCTGTGTCTTCCTCTTGATGTTCTCATCTCACATCCAGCAATGTTGATGATTTTGCATAAGCAAATTTTTCGAGTTACCTGCTGATGGCATAAGCAAATTCCAGGAAAAGAGAAATTTAAACCAACATGACTGGATTTACTGTAAGTAAAAGAATCACTCTCTTCCCTTCCAGAATTTTATTTTGGCTTAGGAAGGTACAGAAGGCACCCACACCATACAGGGACGGACTATTTAAAACAACATCAATCAAGCTCGTACTTGTGAACGTCTCCAATTTGAACGCATATCACATATTTAGACTGGCACTTAAAAGATGCCTGTACTACCATCAGGCATCTCAAATGTGAAAAGGCTGGCGGTGTTTCACAGGCAGAGGCAGAATCCGACTTTGCTACAAAGCAGCTTCTCTCAGGACTGCAACTTCGCAAAAAGGAAGCGGGGGTGGCGGGGGAGGACCGAAGAAGACCGTCCGGTTTCCCTCCCTTTCCTTTAATTTGCTATTTTCACCGTCCCACCCTAAATCTGCCCACAGAAAGAAGGGCTTCGGCGGAAGATCTCTGGCCGCGCCGACGGCGCGGCTCCTTCGGTTTTGGCGGCAACCCCCACCAGCTACGGGGTGCTGGGATAAAGGCGGGAAAGGGTCTTCAGCTGCCTCTGGTCCAGCGACCCGGCTCCTCGGGGCCTCTTCCCGTCCCGGTGGCCAGGCTGGTGACGGGCAGGACCAGAGGCTGCTGGAGCCGCATAGATTCCTCGTAAGTGGGCAAATATTTCACCTCTTCGTAGTTGGGCAGCTGCAAAAAGACGGGAGAGACGACGTGCAGAAGAGGGGGCGGCAAGGACGCCTCTCGGCCCCGGCTGTCCAGCAGCGAGTCCTGCGAGGTGGCGGCCGTCCCATTCAGCGGGGTGACACGGGAAAGCGAGTCCTGCTCTTCCGCGTCGTCATCGTCGTAATCTGCCTCCTCCTCCTCGTCTTCCTCTTCCTCGTCTTCCTCCTCGCCCCGTTGTCCCGGGCGCCGGCGTCGCCTCCCGTGCCTGCGGGGGTTGGGGCAGATGATCCGCTGCAGAAAATACCCGATGGCGAAGAGCACCAGCAAGATGAGCAGCCCGGAGAGCTTCCGCACGAACCAACCCACGTTGTCCAGGAACGTGTGGAAAGGCAGCTTGCAGCACTTGGTCTCCGCGTAGGTGGCGTTGCCGTAGCTGCAGCAGCTCTCCTGCGCGCCGCATTTCTGCGCGCCGCAGCTGCCTTGGCAAGGCTGCCACAGCAAAACGGCGCCCAGCGCCAGCAGCCCCGGGGGGAATCTGCCGCCCGTCATCTCCCCCCTCCTCAGGAAAGAGGAGGAGGAGGGCTGCTGGGCTCGCTCCGGCCCGTCGCCATGGCCCGTCACCTCCGCGCTCGCTTCCTCTCCGGCTTCTTTGCAAAGTCGCTTTTCCCGGGCGCGCAACTCCCAAGCCCGGGAACAGCAGAGGGTGGGGTGCCTTGGCAACTGCAAAAGGAAATCCCCCCGCCCCACTGCCACCGCCTCGCCTTCAGGCGGGATCGCCTTCACTCCCGCAACCGAGATCTCGGACGCGGCGAGGTGGAGCGGGTCTTGCCGGCGAAGGCGGGCGGCGAGGCGGGAAACGCGGACATGTTGCACGCGGGTGATGTCTGCACAGCCGGGCAAGGGGTTAACGGGGCCGATCCGCTCGGCTTTTGCAGCGCTTTAATCTTTATTAATACAGCTGTCGTCTTCTCCTCTCGTCAACGCTCGCTCCCCTTCGCTCGGCTTGAGTGCCTCTGCTTAAGTGATTGGATTTCCCTCTCAGCGTTATTTAAATTTACTTGCTTCCGAGGCTAGCTTTCCATATTTCTGATTAAAAATTGATGGTCATCATTTGGCTGATGTTAATAGGCTTAATGCAACTCCTTTTTCCATTAGAAAGGTTGTGTTTCCCCCCCCCCCCCCCTTTCCTTTCCTTCCCCCCACCCCCCCTTTTTCTAGCTGTGTCTTTGCTGGCCAAGAGACGGTGGTGACTTTTCTTTCCTATAGAATTTGAAGGATCCACCAGAATAGTCACTGGAGAAAATAAGCCAAGGCCAAAGTTTGGAAATCCAGCAGGATGAAAAAAGGCAAGACAGTTTTTCCCAACTTCCTATCTTCAGATCTAGGTTGAGATGTTGAATTAGGGAGCTGCTTGGAGATAACAAAAGAGTAGGTGATCTTCTCACGGCAGGGCAACCTGGACAAAGTTGACAATCACAGTTCATTGAATTACCTGGATTTGCAGAAAATGCTGAGCCATCGACTAGTCCTTCACATTTCCATTTGCCATAACTGAATTCACTAGGGTTCATACAGCATCCAAAATTGCAAAGTGTTTTTGAGTTAACACACTTAACAAATTTGGTGATCCCAGCTAATTGTGGCTGATTGATCAACATAGAGTTAAACAAAGCACATTTTGTAGGGGTCCTTGGTGTTCTCTGAGTTTGATTGATTTCTTGCAGAAGTTTGATTACTCAAAGTTGGTAACATATTGCATAGTTTGAGTAATGAAATGTCTGCAATACAACAACCAAGCTCAAGAGACCACCAAGGATTTTTCATTTCAACTACAAGCTACAAATATTCTCCAATATCAGAAAGCACATTTTACTGTGCAAACTTGCTGGAGAAAGACCGGGAGACTTGCAAATTAATTGGAAAAAGATTGGGAAGGAATAATGAGGTAACAGTAATGAAAGTAACTTATTTCTAGTTACAACTTGGAGCAGGGGGGGTCAAACTTGATTTCATTAAGGGCCACATCAGGGTTGTGTTTGACTTTTGACTTGGGGCTGGGGTGGGCATGGCCAGGGTGGGTGTGGCCAGCTCGATGTCACTCATGTTGGGGGCGCCTGTGGTGGCCTGAGCACTCTGCCAGTGAAAATGGGCTCTTGAGCTGTTTCCGGCTGCGAAGGCCTCCTGCAACCCTCTGCCAGCAAAAACAGCTCGAGAGGCCCATGTGCAGTCTTCCTGAGCTCCATTTTCGCTGGCAGAGGCACCACAGGCCGGTCCTTCGCAGTTTCCAGGGTGGCCCCGTGGGCCAGATCTAAACACTCCATTGGATGGATCGAGAAATTATTGTATCATTTGCAGCAGGGTAGGACTCTTGAAGGTGATTAAAACTGGAAAAGTAAGAGAAGGATTTTTTTTTCTTACAACAATAACACATCTTTTCACATGAAAATCGATCTCCAAGAAGTTACAAATTAAAAGTCTGATTTAAAGATTGAGCATAGAAAGGGGTCTAAAAAAAGGGCAAAGATACATACAACAACAAACTTACAAATTTTTGCTTTCCTTTGTTAACTTGCTTAGGCCGTACAGTTATTTCTTAGCAAAACAGATGATGGTGAAACAATATGTGACAATATGAAAACAATATGAAACAATATGAAACAATGTGTTGTAAATGCAACACATTCTAAAAATGCTTGCTGTTCTGCCTTATTTTCTACCTGAACCTCTCCTGAAAAATACTAATTTAAAAGGCACTTATGGCCAAAATAGATGTAAAGTAATATTTTAAAGAAAAACCAGTCTTCTTTGCCAGTTGCTTGTTGCATCACAGGCAATAGTGAAATTGAAAGAAGCCCAAATGTATGGCAGTTCTAAAAGACTGAACAGAAATAAGATAGTGTTATTTTAAATAAAGTTTTTTTAAATCAGTGCACAAACCCAGTTACTAGTGGTGGAGACAAGCAAGAGGACTTGTAGGCCATTCAGGAACCTATTTGCAAAACTCTCCCTGTTAGTCCCATGGTGGTTTATTAAAGTCAATTAAATCCATTTTCTGGACCTTATCCACACACTTGTCTTTCCTCAGCACCCGGAAATCTTGCTAACTGTGTTGAAGACAAATCTCCAGTCTTCCTCTCAGTGCCAGTGATAATTTTCCATTGAAAACGCAATGCAGTTTCCTATGCAAACGTTCTGACCCACAAGGAAGAATCTGATTGAAGTTGGTCATCTACATCGCTCCATTTGGCATACTGCAGGATTGTTTCAGTCCATCTGGCCAGAGGTCTCTGTGCTTCCAGGCCAATTCTGCTTTGGCTCCCGGAAGGAACAGAAAGTCCCTAGCAATCAAGTCATACTTTCTTTCTGTTGAGGCTCAAGTAGGAATAGTAATGTTCCGGAAAATTTTCAGGTTGCTATTCATACCTATATGAATAGGGTTGCTATTCAGGTTGCTATTCATACCTATAACCTCCACTACTTGGCATTTCTCTTCTCTCCTCATGGCACTTTTTCTGGATGAAAGGAAGAAAATGGCAAGCTGAAAGAAGAAGAAGCAAGGTCCTTTGTTCTTCCTGCTTCTTTACAACTACTCCTTCCTCCAAGCTCTCATCAAAGCTATCTCAATGTTTTGAGGGCACCAAATTTGGTGATCTGTTTTGGAAACACAGCAAGACATGAGGGTGGGTAGGCAGTGATTTCATAATGGAAAACACATCATTGGGCTTGGGGGAATAAAAGAGCTCAGAAATCTGCAGAAAAAGCATTTTGATATTTTCTCAAAGTTTCAGATTATTCATTTATGTTTCCTATCTGCCAAGTTGAAAGAAGCAAGGGATATTGTATTCAAAAATATCTGGGGACTGCTAGGTTGCCTGTATCTATAGGGAAAGTGGTTGCTAATGTCTGTGTAATAGGTTAAGTTAAAATATACAATTTGGCTCAGGAGCTTCATTGTAAACTGGGAGTTACCAGTAGCATATTCTACATTTTTTTCACTTGTTATGCTTAACCTCCTGAAGAACTCAAAAATATGCCCATGACATTTTGATTAGTCTTTAAAATGGATTTGCAAGGGATTAAGAAGGCTACATTTTATTTTGGATAATACCAAATTGACTGTCCAAGTTTTGACCAGTTAAATGTCTGTTCCCTTAAATTAGACAAAGATAAATTTGGGATAAACAGCAAGTAGACGTGATATGGATTAACCCCTAGTTTGCTTTAGGTTATCTGGCAATTTGCAACAAGTCACAACCACTGTAGCTACCCTTTTGTGAACTTCTAGTGCAGACTTGTTTTTAATACATTCAAAACATACTTTCAAAATGTTCACAAATCCCAAATATTCAGGATCGTTCTTTTATTGTAAATGTTTTAATTTACAATAAAATGTGTCCATTGTGGAATTGCTTTTACAGTGAAAAGTCAGTTTAGAAAAGTTCATAAATAAAATCAACTATTGAAAATCCCACCAAGAAAAGAGTAAGGTTGGTATAAGGCTTGCAGTCTTGAATGAAATTTTTGCTACAAATCTTGGTTTGTTCTGTAACAACATAAGTGTCATACCCTCTCTTCCATAAACTTGCAAATTTAGAGCTTATTGTGGCCACAGAGAATCAGAGAGATACATAATTCCCATCTGAAAATGAACTAATAGGGTTACATATATCTAATTTTTGTACTGTGTTTTCCAAGGGATACCTTTGTTGATGACTAACCTCAAACAATCCATTTTTTTTTGTTATTAAGGGAAGAAAACCCTTTGAAGATGGAACTACACTTTCAAAATCCTTCACTAACCACAGAAACTTACACTCTGAAGGTATCTAATGCAGATTTAAAATCCAATGGTAAGAATCTCTCCACTCTTATTTCTGCTCATGTGCCTGTTTCCAAATAGCATTGCAAAGCAGAAAGGACACAGGACTAAAAACAACTTTTCTGTCATGCTGAGTTCCACAAATCAGGCCATCGTTTTGGCTTTGTATGTTGTAGCAATTCAACAATTGCAATTTGCAAACCATAGTGCAAAATGTATGTTGCATGAAGCCAACCACTTGTGAATAGATAATTCCATGAAATTATAGTTTATACAAACTTATACAAGCCATGACTTAGCGTGACATAAAAACCAATTTTGTAAATTGTACAAGAGTAGAGCAAATTCAACAAAAGCCTGATTTTGGATTAAGTTTTCTTGAAGTTAAAATTCATTACACCACATGGAATTCCTGTTTAAGAAAAAAAAATATGGGTTTGGGTTGAAGAGCAGTGGAACGTGTTTTCTGGAAGGATCTGGGAGGAACAAGCTTTTGCTCAACTGTACTCAAAATGTTTATGTGAAATATTGTATGTATATTCACATTTTAATTTTACACTGAAAGGTCAAAATCCAATACAGTTGGATTTATTTCCCAGGGCTCTAGGCATGTCTACTTTACAATGGCTATGGAAAAATTAAGAATAGTTAAAAACACTACTAATACCAGTAAAACCATATCATGAAAAACACAAAGATTCAAATTAAGATCATAAACTACAAAGGTGGA